AACTCCTTTCCCTTCTCCTCCCTGCAACAGACACCCTGTGCTAACGTTGTATATTATGTTTGATAATTGAGATTTAAGACCTTTGTTCATAGAAGCTAATAGACATAAGAGTAAGATCTCGGAGGCTAAGCAGGGTCAGCCCTGGCGAGGACTTGGATGGGAGACCACCCAGGAAGTCCAGGGTCTCTGTGCAGAGGCAGGCAACGGCAAACCCACCTCTGAATGCCTCTTGCCGGGAAAGAGAACTTGAACCAAATATCGCTGATGCCATACCTACAGAATCTAGATAAAGCTGAGTATAGAAGAGCTTTTACTCTTATGAGAGCAAATATGCTCCCTTCAGTGGTTACAGAGGGTAAATACAAAAGGCGTCCCTATGAAGAATGTTTGTGCATCTCTGGGGATGGGAGGATTGAGTCAAGGGAGCATGTTCTGTTCGAATGTAAACTTTACCAGAATTTTCGTTCCGTCTATTTAGCGCCAGTTTGCATTCAATTCCCAGGGAGAAATATTAGATTTTATTTAGACAAGCTTTTAGCCAACAGGGATCCAGAAATTACTTTAAAGGTGGCAACATTTGCTGTGAAGGCCATAAGATATCGTCAACAATTTTTAGTTTAATTTTATGCTTAAGATTTTAAAAGGGGTGTTTGGCTGAATCGTATATCCTCCTTGTTTTAATGGCTTTGGTGGCTGTTTATGGGTCTTTGGCCGTATTAAACATTTGACTGGCTGACTAGCAGCAGTGGCTCTCCTAGAAGCACCTTTCCCAATAGCAGCTCCTTAAGACCCCCTCAACTTGCAGCAGCAGGGATTGAAACTGGGATGTTTTGCCTGAGCAGCAGGCCCTCTTGAAACTGGGATGTTTTGCCTGAGCAGCAGGCCCTCTTGAAACTGGGATGTTTTGCCTGAGCAGCAGGCCCTCTTCTCCCCAGAGTGGTGCCCCTCCCAAAGTTATATGGGAGAAGAAACACACGGCACTTTTTCTTACCCCAGTTAAAGGAGTCATCAAAAGTTGGGAGTGATGCATTTCCCTTTATTGCATTCCATTTAAAGTGAACAGCTGCCGCTGAGTCAAATGGGAAGAAAACTGCTGCTAATTGGCAGCTATCTGCAGGTCTTACCAACCGCGTTAATCCAATCTTAGCACTTCCTGGCAACTAACACCCCCCCACACACCTATATGTAAGGCTTGAGGAAGTTTGTTTTAATGTATCTAAAGAAGTGTGCATCTACACATGCCAAGTCACTCAGTTCTCACTTATACCTAAAATTTTGTTAGTCTTAAGGTGCCACCGGACTCAAACTTAGTTCTCGCATCTGCTTGTTGCCTCTTATTTGTATGCTAATGGGCTGCCTTTCACAGGTTTTACCAGTCTCAGCTACACTTATCACCCAGTTACTGATGCATCTTGACTCTTAACTAGCCCTTCCTGGTAGCTCACTGCCCCACCCTCTCTCTACCTATACGTAAGGCTGGAGGAAGTCTGCTTCAGTGTATCTGAAGAAGCGTGCTTGCACACGAAAGCTTATACCCAGAATTAAACTTTGTTGGTCTCAAAAGTGCCACAGGACTCCAGCTGTGTCCTGTTGTTTCAGACCAACACAGCTACCCCCATCTAAAAGCACCATAGTTGATGCTCCTGGAGGTATGCCCATACATACAACACCCAGCTGTTGTATAGTTTTGCTCAGGGCTTTTTTTGTAGAAAAAGCCCAGGTGGAACTCATTAGCATAATAAGACATACCCAACAGCAGAAGCTCATTAGCATATTAGGCCACACCCCTGATAGTACAGCTCATTCGCATATTAGGCCATACCCCCACGTTACCAGAAGTGTGGTCATCCAGCCACAACCACCTTTTGCTTGTTATTCTGTTTACCTTGTTTGTGGTCAAAACCCAGGGGTTTTTTTTGTAGCAGGAACTCCTTTGCATGTTAGGCCAATTCCAATTAGTTCCTGCTGTTGGGTGTGGCCTGTTATGCTAATGAGCTCCTGCTGGGCGTGGCCAACTCAGGAGCCAGCCGGAACTCCGTTCCTGTACGTTCCTGCCCAAAAATAGCCCTGGTTTTGCTAATTAACAAGATGGGAGGCCCACAAAGAATCATGGAAAGAATCAGTTTGGAAATCCCACCTCAGCCATACACACAATCTGCAAGATCTCCCCCCTCTAGGATTCGCTAAGCTTTCAAGGATCTGTAGAGGGTAAAATTTGCCCTCTTTCCTGACCTGGATGGCCCAAGCTAGCCCACTCTCATCAGATCTCAGAAGTATGTTTGATAATTGAGCTTAAGACCTTTGTGCATAGAAGCTAATAGACATAAGAATAAGATCTAGGAAGCTAAGCAGGGTCAGCCCTGGTGAGGACTTGGATGGGAGACCACCCAGGAAGTCCAGGGTCTCTGTGCAGAGGCAGGCAACGGCAAACCCACCTCTGAATGCCTCCTGCCCTGAAAAACCTGTGGGGCCGCCATACGTCAGCTGTGACTGGACGGCGCTTTCCACCACCGTTTCCCCCTCTACCCATCAAACTGCCTATCGGCATTCTGCGCACCCTGGGGCATATTCAGTCCCCAACAGGCCTTTCGGTGTGTCCCCCCCCCTTGATTAATCATACTCTTTGGCACACCTAGGAAGTCCAGATACATAAAGACCTTTAACCGTCCCCGTGAGCAGTCTGGTTGGACTGCTTTCCCAACTGACAGGTCGGCTTCACTTATCTGATCCTGGGATAATCTGATGCCTACGGAAACTCAAGTGAAATCGCCGGCATTTTGAATACCGCAACCCAGTATGGCCATGTTCACGCCCCTGACAATACATTTTCCAGCCCCTGGACTGCTCACCCTGAGAACAGTGAAGAGGGCACAGGCTCTTCCTTAAAAGGGGCTTAACTCTTGTGCTGCTGAAGTTTAGAGAAACCACAGAAGTAGGGCCTGCTCTTCTTCCTTGCAGGATTACCTGTCCGCCGCAGAGACCACAGGACAACCCGGGCTGCACAAAGCTGGGTTTTGTTTTCTTCATTCATATCCCATCTTTCGCCCCAATGGGTACCCAAAGCAGTTTATATCATTCTCCTCCCTTCCATTTTACCCTCACAACAACCCCTTGAGGCAGGTGAGGCTGAGAATAGGTGACTTGCCCAGGGTCACTTGGCAAGCTTCTGTGGCAAAGGGGACATTTGAACCTGGGAAGTTCAACCACTACACTACCACTGGCTCAACAAAGAGTTTGAGAAGCTATCTGGGGTACTTCAACAAACAAATGTGTGCAGTGGGGGAAAATCTAGCCTTAGCCAGTTTGCTGTAGTGGTTAGGAGCGCGGACTCTAAACTGGGAGAACCGAGTTTGATTCCCCACTCCTCCACATGCAGTTGCTGGTGTGACCTTGGGTCAGTCACGAGTTCTCAGGAGCAGTCCCACCTACCTCACAGGTGCCTGCTGTGGGGAGGAAAGGGATTGTAAGCCACTCTGAAACTCCTTCAGGTAGTGAAGGGTGAGGTATAAATCCAATCTCTTCTCTTTTTCTTCTTCTAAGAGTTGTGAAAATGGCACACTCAGCAAACACACCCTCCTTTTCATAACCCTTAGCACCACTTGCTTCTGCTCATGCGAGGGCACTCTTTGTGCTGGCACACAAAAAAATAACAAATAAGACAGGACACACCTACATTTCAAGGATGCCACAGGGAGCCAACCAGCCGCAGAGAAGTGAAAGGCATTGCTTTTTAATTAAGCTTCAAGGCATTGTAGATGATAGAGGCTCGGAGAGAATAATAAATAAGTTGGGGGGGGGATTATCTTTGCTGTCTCTTCAGAACTGGCTGTGCAAGTCCTTAAGAAAAACTAAGATGCCTCCAGGAGGTGAATTTGGCCTAGGATAATCTTATCCTAGATGGGTAAACTTCACATGGTACTCTGTTCTCATAATGCACATACAAAAACTCCCAAATTTTGTAACAACGTTATGTCACAGACTCCATAGCATTGACAGGCCCTGCCTGTTATCTCCCATATCGAGTGCTAATGTAGATTGGTCCATACGTAAAAAGGGGTTTGGTGCCCTCGCCGATGAGGGTGGCCGTGCAATCAGAAGACACAGTCCAAGAGCTCCGCGTGTGGGGGGGTGGTCACAGTTTGTTTCAGGCACAACTCTTCTCTTAACAGTGAAGCAACACATGCTTAGTCGTCAGCCAGTCGGAGAAGGGTGCCAGAGGATGTTGGTATGCTAAAGGAAGCAAGAAAGAGACTGTCAGGTTAAAAGAGATTCAGAATCCACAACTGAAGCTCCTTAGGATTCTGGAATGGCAATCAACGTGCCTTTTCTGTACGTGGACCTTGCAAATGTGAGTACTGATGCTGGGGGAAATCTACAGGAGGAGGCCATCACCGGAGCCTGCAAGGCTAAGCTTTAATCCTTACAACCGACTCTGTGAAGGAGAACCATAGTATTATCCTCATGTTGCAGACAGAAGGACCGAGACTGAGAAACAACAGATTATTCAAGGGTGGTGGCCAAATGCAAGGCCGAGGCAAGGTCTGAACTTGGAACTCTCCAGCTCAGGCTCTTAGACACTAAACTACACCTCATTTCTCAGTTCTGGGGCCGAGGCAACCAAAATCCTTGGGAAGGGAATATATGACATGAGGCACAATCTTCAGCACGTTTACTCAGGACTAATGCCCACTGTGTCTAGCGGCCTTATTCTAAAGTAAGGTCTGAGGACAGAGCTATAAAATCAAGATGGTTAGGTTCCTTGGGAGGAAGGAAGGAAGGTCCATCGTTCGGCTGGGGGGAGCACAAAGACAGTAAAGGCATGGGAGACAACGTACCAGTCGACCAGCTGAGCGCCAATGATGTCATGGACATGGTACGGGAGCCCCAGTTTGACAGAGGATGGCGCTCGGCGGTTCTGCAAATCCGACAGCAAAACTTCCTTGTATTTGGCCTTCTGGATCATGCCCAGCACGGCTTTCCTTCCTGGGAAAAGAGTGTGACAGGTCAGTGGGTCGCTCCGCTGTGGGGAGTTCCAAGCCTTGAGTGCAACCCTACTTTAAAGTAAATTGGCTGGGTCACATGCACACAACGGAAGTGTCGCGAAAGGGAGACCCAGAGATAAGGCGCGTAAATACACAAAGGACTCTCCAGCAAAGCTGAAAAAGATATGATCTTGAGAAACTGACCGGGGGGAGGGGGGGCTAAAAAAAATCAGTCCGATGAGGGCTAAAAATGCTCAAAGAAACTTGGAATGTTCAGAGCAGCTAAGAATGTTGCAGACAGCTAAGAATCAAAAAGAGGGGAGAGCCCCACAAAGCTAAAAGAATTGCAGGCAGGGAGATTTCATAGAATCACAGAGTTGGAAGGGATCTCCAGGGTCATCTAGTCCAACTGCACAATGCAGGAAATTTGTAAATACCTCCCCTCCACACTCCCAGTGACCACTATCCTACACACCCAGAAGGTGACAAAAACCCTCCAGCATCTCCAGCCAAACTGGCCTGGAGAAAAATCGCTTCCTGACCCCAAAGTGGTGATTGGCATTTCCCTGGACGTGTAAGGAAGGGCCACCAAGAACTAAGCAGTGAGGCAACCTTCCCTGCCCTCCCTCTCCTGATCAAACTGTACTCTCCCAATAAACGCTTAAAGCTGCTTCATGCCAAGCCCAACCTGTGCTCTATCAAGCTCAGAATTCTCTGATGTGCAGCAGCTCTCCAGGATCTTAGACAGAGGTCTTTCACTATTCTCTGCTCTAATGTGCAGCAGCTCTCCAGAGGTCTTTCACATCAGCTGCTACCTTTGCTCTTTTCACTACGTAAGAACATAAGAGATGCCAATGTTGGATCAGGCCAAAGGCCCATCCCGTCCAACACTCTGTGTCACACAGTGGCCAGAAATACCAGGTGCCATCCAGGAGGTCCACCAGTGGGGCCAGGACATTAGAAGCCCTCCCACTGTTGACCCCCCCCCCAAGCACCAAGAAGACAGAGCATCACTTGCCCCAGAGCCCCTATCTATACCCTGTTTCCCCGAAAATAAGACCTACCCAAAAAATAAGCCCTAGCAGGATTTCTATGCATTTGTGGTATAAGCCCTAGTGTGTCTTCTTAAGAAAAAATAAATATAAGACAGTGTCTTATTTTCGGGGAAACACGGTACCTTGTGGCTAATAGCCACTGATGGACCTCTGCTCCATATGCTTATCTAATTCCCCTTTGAAGCCGTCCATGCTTGTAGCCGCCACCACTTCCTGTGGCAGTGAATTCCATGTGTGAATCACTCTTTGGGTGAAGAAGTACTTCCTTTTATCCGTTCTAACCTGACCGCTCAGCAGTTTCATGGAGTGCCCACGAGTTCTTGTATTGTGAGAAAGGGAGAAAAGTACCTCTTTCTCTACCTGCTCTTTCCCATGCATAATCTTATAAACCTTGATCATGTCACCCCTCAGCCGTCGTTTCTCCAAGCTAAAGAGCCCTAAGCGCTTTAACCTTTCCTCATAGGGAAAGTGTTCCAACCCTTTTATCATGGTGGACTCTCGGCATGCAACACAGATGCTCTACCACTGAGCTACGGCCCCACTTCTGATGTCACCCCCCCAACCATACAGGTTGGTGGATAAGTTGTCCGGCCTTCCAGAAGGGAATCTGGTCTATATCCCCCAGTGGTGGCGGTGGGGGAGACATCCCAGCTGCTTGGTCATGAAGACTTCTTGAGTTCAAAATGGCCCTGCACAGGTTGGTGTTCAAATACAAAAAGGTGAAGAAGATCTAGACCTACTGCCCAACTGAATGTGCAGTCTTTTTCTTGCCCCAGCTCAGAGAGCGCTGCAGCACTTCCCATCTCTATACACCTGTTCCTGGAGATGCCGACGAACCTTTGATGAAGTATTTGACGAAGCGGCCTGCTCCGGGCACAGCCAGCCACCAGCTCCCGGCATCACGGACGGTCAGGACGCCCGCATTGACCAGCTGCCTGAACGCAACACAGTGAGAGAGTGGGGAGGGAGAGAACAGGTTCTTCATTAGGACTTGCTTCTGCAGCTACACAGTGCAGTGATTTCTGGGGAGATGGACGTGTTTTGGGACTCTGGGATATAAAAAGGGCTGTGATCTCATCAGTGGCTGCCAAGAGCTTCCTGCTCAGCGAGGCAGATGACCCACCAAGAAAAATACAGCCCTGCCCCCACCAATTACAGTGGCCCACCAAGGTTCAATAAATCCAGCTGGGACGGCATATGCAAGAGGCTGTCAAGCATTCAGCCGGCTACAATACAATATGTTACTGGTGAGTCCTGAATTGTCCTGCTGATTTTTGTGCTGTGAGCAGAGCTTCAACATTCACTTATCAATTAAAAACCCTTGGACCGATTAAGACAGTGGCTTGTATCCAGTGAGTTCTGTCCCCCCCCCCCTCCTGCTGCAGCCCACTAAGCTTCCTGACGTTTTGTTCTTGGGGGGGGGGGATCAGCACACATCCCAGGAGCAGCACAGGGGCAAGGGGGGGGCTGCACTGGGAGGAGGCAGTCAACAGAAGTCACCCCCATTCCTGCCCCTGGTCATTGGAATTATACAACCCGGTGTCCCCAAGTCCATCAAGTACTGGAGTTTTTAAGAACGCAAGGTTAATACAATTATAACAGCAATGGGCAGCATTTTATAAGTGGCCTTTCCCCCTTCCCAGTTTGCTGTAGTGGTTAAGAGCGCAGACTGTAATCTGGGAGAACCGAGTTTGATTCCCCGCTCCTCCATGTGCAGCTGGTGGCATGACCTTGGGTCAGTCATATGTTCTTTCAAAGCTATTCTCTCGAGGGCAGTTCTCTCAGTGCTCTCTCAGCCCCACCTACCTCACAGGGTGTCTGTTGTGGGGAGGGGAAGGGAAAGGAGACTGTAAGCCGCTCTGAGACTCCTTCAGATAGTGAAGGGCGGGGTATAAATCCAATCCTTTCTTCCTTTATTCACACTGGGGGGGGGCTCTTTAGAGTGTGCCTGCAGGTGTGCCTCACTAATAACTTTTTCCTTTTAGCATGTATTAATAATTATATAGATTGTCTCTGTTAAACCTCATACCCTTAATTGACAACAGTCTGCTGCTGAGATTTAAATAGCCAAAGACAGCTGTTCATACAGGGACCCCAAGACACCCTGGCCTCAAAAGGACTATCGGCAAGATCGCGCTTGCTCACGTGATCTCCGCGTCACTGAAGCCAAATTCTGTCAGCATCCGTTTCTTGTCAAAACTGATATCGGGGCAGGAGATGAGGACGGAGTCCAAGAACTTCCTCACCGTCCTGGCAACCTCTTTCCCAGACACAAACTCCAGCACCTGCAAGAGGCAGGGAAGAAGAGAATAATGGAATCATAAGAGCTGTAAGTACCCAGTGAGACCATCTAGTCCAAAAAAGTAAAAAAAAAAAGCCAATGCTATGCTGGGGATTATTAGGAAGGGTATTGAAAACAGATTGAACATTCCCAAGTCCCTCAGCCTTTCCTCATAAAGCTTGGTCTCCAGGCCCCCGATCATCCTCATGTCGATGTTACGCGGTGCTAGCCCACTGCAGGGTGTGCATGGGTGTGAGAGTATCAAATAAGACGTGAGTCTTATAGGCTTAGTGTAAAAGCTATTTACAGTTTACTCACACAAGCCACCACCAAATTATTGCACAGACCGACAAAATGCTTACGCAGACACCAGATATTCACAAGAAGATGGGTTACACTGTACATCACTGTACTTATACTTGCATTGACCAATCAGGACCAATGCTGAGTCATTACTAATTAGTTCTGCCAGGAACCAGCCAGAACCGGTTGGAGCCAGCTCTTCTGACACTCAGAGCTGTCAAGTCCTGTCACTTAGATTGTTCTGATCTACAGCCAGACTTAATTGAACATATATATGTTGACACCTCGTTGCTCTCCTCCGCATGCGCTCCATTCTGTCCACATCCTTTTTGAAGTAAGGCCTCCAGAACTGTACACAGAGCTGTCACTACCTCATTGATGCATCTACATTTCAGCTCAATCCTCCAGCCATACGCAGAGACACCTACCTTAGACTGATAGCTGTCCGTGAAGGTGAGAACAAGACTGTCAGCGTCGAAGCCATGCTGGAACATCCGGATCCGTCCTTCTTCTTTCAGTTGGTTCTGCAGAGGAGAAAGTTTATTGTACCTACCCGTTTCCAAAATCAGAGTTTCTATGCAAACGGATGGCAGAAAGCTTTGCTTTGGGGTGGGTGAAAAAGAAGAGAGGGGTATATAACACATGGCAGAGACTACCTCTCTGCAGAAAAGTGACGGGGAGGTAATTGGAAAAACCCCATCCTCCTTAGAGCAGACAAAGGCTGCACGTGAACCCATGAAGCTGCCTTATACTGAATCAGACCATCGGTCCATCAAGGCCGGTACTGTCTACTCAGACTGGGAGTGGCCCTCCAAGGTCTCAAGCAGAGGTCTTTCACATCACGTGATCCTTTCTACTGGAGATACCGGGGATTGAAACCGACACCTTCTGCATGCAAAGCAGATACTCTACCAACTGAGCCACGGCCCCTCCATCTCTTTAATAAACCCAGGGAATATGCCCCTTTATTTCTGAAGACATCCTAGGGAGACGGGCTGCATGTGGAATTGTGCTCCAAAGATGATCCAGGTGATCCTGAGAAAATTGTGTGCATGTGGGTGGGTGGGGATATGGTTCCCTCTAGATCCCAATTGTTCCTTCCACCAACAACTGTTTAACTGGGATAACAAATGGGAATATCCTGAGAAAAATGTGTCCGTGGGAGGGTGATTAGGCACCCTCCAGATCCCAACGGTTCCCCCCAACAACAACTGTTTAATTGGGATAACAAATGGGATTATGGGTGGAAAGATAATAGTCCCTATGGGTTGGATCCTATCAGTTTTTCTGTTGGCAAAAGAGGAAGGAATGACTCCCTTGGATTATAAAAAAAAGCTATGCCTAGGTTCGGGGGACCCACTTGGAGAAAAAAACACAAGGGCAGAAGCTGCAGGGAGGATGACAATCATGCAAGAACAGAAAAGCTGACAGGATCCAACCCTACCAATTTGTACAGGCCTCTCCCAACACACTGTTGTACTTTACAGCATTGCCATTGTAAGTCCCTGAGTGGCTTACACTGGGTAAAGTAAAGGTAAAGGTTCCCTTGCTCGAAAGCCAGTCGTATCCGACTCTAGGGTTGCGGTGCTCATCTCTGTTTCAAAGCCGAAGAGCCAGCGCTGTCCGAAGACATTTCTGTGGTCATGTGGCCGGCATGACTAAACACCAAGGCGCACAGAACGCTGTTACCTTCCCACCGAAGTGGTACCTATTTATCTACTTGCAATGTCTTGCTTTCGAACTGCTAGGTTGGCAGGAGCTGGAACTAGAGATGGGAGCTCACTCCGTCATGCGCCACTCGGGTCTCGAACTGCTGAACTACCGACCTTCCACAGCCTGCAGTTCAGCATCTTAACCACTTGAGCCACCGCAGCTCAAGTTTAAGCACTGGGCTTAAACCCAGACAAACACTGATCAGGCCCACACTTCCCAAGCTTCATTGCTGCTACAGGAATAGCTATTCCCAAACTGGGCCACAGAGCCTGGAGAGAGCAGAGTGGGATATCAGAACTGGAAGCTGGAGTTTCCTACCAGACATCTGTCTACAGTGGTGCGGTCTTTGACGAGACTGTAAACCTGGTGCTTCAGGATCAAGGGCGGCAGCGCATCCTCGAATAATTTGCGAGGGAAGAGAGACGCCAAGTACTGGAGTGCCGATTCGACGGCTTCAGGGCCCTCTAGGAAATGAAACAGAGGGCATCAAAACCCAGGAATCATGACTGCTAGCAGCCCTCCTACTCCAGTACCCTAAACACACTTGCAGGAGTTCTCAGTCTGCACTACCACCTTAGGACAGCCTCAGATGTTCTCTGCTCTTACCCTTTTCCACAGTCTCTAGGCCTACTGCCAACCGCTGCTTCTTGGCCTTGAAAGCGTCTGAGATGAGCTGATGTTTCCTCTTCATGGGGCTGGAGGGCTGTAAACTGAAGAACAGGCAAGCTCTTAATCTGTGCGTTCGTGTAATACCCACCTTGTGTATTTCCACCTTTCCTTGCGGTATCTCCATTTTTACCAGTTCTCCTCAGCCCTCCTGGGACATCTATTCTTCAAATGGACTTCTGCTGGATTCACCACCACCCCACTCTGTCCTGATGCTTGCATTCCAAGACCCCTCTCCCCTTCTTCAAACAACCTTGAGCTTAGTCCTCACTGAGACGGCAAGTTTGTGCTGAGGCTTTGACATCTTAATTATAAAGTGATGGAATGTTCCTCTGTATAGAACACCCAAACACACACACAGGAGACCAGATCACAGGGAGAAAAGGCTCCAGCCCAGCCATGTGCCTGCCATGCCGGTTTTCTATGTACAGAGAACATATATTTCTATGGAAGAACATTCCAACTTGTAGTCACTCCCGCCTGCAATGCCAACTGGTTCAGCCGACCACAGGTACGTTATCTCAAGTGAAAATTTGGACTCGGACTCTCAGGTCAGTTCCCCTCTTCAACCCACTCATCCTGCTTCCTGGGACTCCCTTGGTCATAAAAGTGCCTCTTCCCAAGTCAAACCAATAACTCATCTAGCCCCACACCTTTTATGCTGACTGGCAGCCTTCCTCTGGCGTCTCAGCCAGAGGTTTTTCCCCAACCACCAGTACCGATGATACTTGAAAATAGGAACGTCAGGGATTTTGCCAGCTGGCCTGAAGAAAAATGTCCTCCTGTCCTTTTAACAGAGGCTTAGTGGGTGGAAGTGGGCTGGTAAGCTTTTTCATGGCACAGAGGTAAATACCACCAGCTAGCAAAACACATTAAACCACTATTAAAGGAACAAGCCTTTTTTCCTGACAACTTTACTTGAGGATGACATTCTGCACTGATTGCATGTATGTGCGCTGAATTACATCTGCCATTCATTATTATTATATTCCATCCTATTGCCTCTATCTGATGCTCTTCCATCCTTTTACATTCAGAACACCCCACATGGAGTCCTTGGGGCTACTCTCAGTCAAACCACCTCTGTTTAGGATTGCCATTTTTTTTTACTGGCCCAGATCCTGTACCTTAAACACTAGTCCAAATGCAAGTAAGAGAAGAATTTCCTCAATTATTGCATCTCCGTGCCAGGCAAATTAACAGCTGTCTCATTTCTGCATTCCAGGACTCACCAAGAGGCAAACATACAGGATCAAGGCCAGGGAAAACAGCCAGAAGCCAGGCACACCCATGTTGATGACACAGTCTCTTAATTTCATGAGATTCTGTATTCATATGTGCTTTGCTGAGGAACACCTGCAGGTAACCGGCTCCACTGCTTAAATTTTTTTGGTTGTTGATTCCCCCCCTCCTTTCTTTATACAGGATATGGTGGAATGCCCACTTAAATTATGACTTCCTTCATCTAACTGAGCAGGCTCCAACTGGCAGAAACTTAAGACCATAAAAAATGAGTCCAATCTTTAAAGGTGACAGTTTGGGCAAATTTTAACATGACAGGCTCAGCCATGCCTTCATCCATATATAAAGCAATATACACACAACATGCAACATATGTTAGAAGGAACACAAACTCCTCCCTTTCCTTACTCTCCACACAAAGCACTTTTCTCCCCGGTCTAGTTCACTCTCTAGAAAAGTACCTGAAACAAACACAGCATCGGGAATGGAGAATGGGAAAGGAAGAAGATTCAGTTCCCCTCATCCACATGACCTTTTCATGTAAAAACAGAAAGCTTAACACATTTTACCCCACCCTTCTTCCAAGAAGCTCAAAGTAGCATATTTCATCCATCATTCACAATAGCCTTGTGAAGTAGGTCAGACTGATTCCAAACCCAGAGCACTCCATGCCAGATAAAGGACCAGCTCCTTTCAGTTCAACACTGTATCACAGAGACGTTCCATCAAAACAGTTCCTCGAGAGAACACACACGAACAATAACAAAAAAATGTGTCTGCCCCTCTAGCACACCGGGTCTTTGGTCAGCTTCCTTTCCTCCGCAAATTCCTTTTGACTTCCTGTGAGAAAACCCGACTCCTCGTTATACTCGGCTCTCCCACCGCCCACATTCCTCGGACTTTCCTACTCGGTCCCACATTTCCATCATAGAAACACCCCCCACCACTCACTCACAGACTGCCGTTTTCTATTGGGTCCTCTTCTCCTCTTCCGTCTCAACATATCGCCGCCCCTTTTGTGGACGAGTGATGACATTGACGATGCTCCGCCCCTCAGTTCTTTCCCGTATCTGCAAAGCTTGCCTATGGTTTGTCGTGGCCACGTGACGCGACCCGCCCCTTTCTCCTCCCTGTTCATCTTCTCTGCTGGAGCGGATGGACTGCCGCATCATCCAATGACTTTCCTCCCAGTTAATGCCGCCTTCTTTTGTGTAGGAAATGGCTTCGGTAGACTGAAGCCGCTCTGGTGGCCATTTTGGATGGGGAAAAGCAGCGAAGAGGAGTCATGTGTGGCAGTTAATTTTAAAAGATTTGTTATGGCAGTCCGTAGCCCTTTAAGTGGCTTAAAGGGGAAAACATGAATGGTGGCAGGGTCAGAATTTCATTCCACTGCAAAATAGTCACTAATCTTTTAGATTATTTTTGCGGGGTTTGTTTTTGGAGAGGGGACTCCATGGCATTGTACCCCACTAGGGTTGCCAGGTCTGGGCGGGGAGAGGGCGGGTTTTGGGGAGGGGAGGGGCCTCAGCATGGTACAATGCCACAGAGTCCACCCTCCAAAGCAGCCATTTTCTCCAGGGGAGTTGATCTCCGTCAGCTGGGGATCAGTTATAAAAGCGGGAGATCCCCAGGCCCCACCTGGAGGCTGGCAAGCCTAT